ATATAATTGTTCATTTTTATTATTTTCTCGCCTGGTCCTTTATACTCCTGCTATGAGTGAAACCGTCTGGTATTTTTCCTTTTCTTTCTGGCTTCTTTCACAAAGCATGATCTTTTCCAGCTCCATACATGTTGCTGCAAAAGCCATGTGTTTATATATTTTTGGTTGCTGAGTAATATTCCATTGTGTATTTATACCACATCTTTTTAATCCAGTTATCTCCTTTTGGGCATTTGGGTTGATTCCATGTCTTTCCAATTGTAAATAAAGCAGCAATAAACATGGGGGTGCAGATATCTTTTTAAATCAGTGTTTTTGTGTCTTTTGGGTAGGTAACTAGGAGTGGGATTGCTGGGTCATATGGAAGCTCCATGTTTAGCAGTTTGAGAAACCATATAAATATAGAGATATATATTTTTAAGATTTATTTATTTGTACATACAGAACTGGGGTACAGGCCAGAGGCTCAGGGGTAGCAAGAGGCTTCACCAGAGACAGAGTGGGGAGCAGAACAGGCAGATTGATGAAGTACACTGCTGAGGGGAGCAGTGGGTGGGTCAGGAGAGGTCTGCCACACCATGTGGTCACCTCTGGGGCAGGCGGGAATTGAACTCATGCGGAAGTGGCTTTAGCTTCTCAGTGCAGTGCTTTAACCCGCTGTGCCACCAGGGAGGGCCTGAAGATATTTTTTAAGGGAGAGAAATGAGATTGTTTATCAAGTGAAAGAAACTGGATTTTTGTACAGACATGTTGACAATGTGCTATAATAAAATTTTACCTGTGTGTGTGAGACCCAAAAGAAAGTGAGGAGTTAATTTCCATAGCAAACTATAAAAGGATATAAATATATATGTAAATTATATCCATGCACCTGAAAAAAGTATGTAACCATGGCAACTTAAAATTTAACTATTTTTATAAGTGTTATTTAAAATGACAATAAGCTAAAACCTGGGGTTAACCAAGTGGTGTCATAAGTTCAACTTTCAAAAGATGTATTAAGGAAAACGCTTAAATATGTTGCCCTATTCTATCACTAAATCTTTGACACTAACTGGGTGTTTTGTAATTCATTTCAATTTTAATAGTACATGAAGTTAGCACAGATACCACAAGTATAGTCCTTCACAAGACTATCCCCATTTCAGAATTCAACTACAAGAATTGGTGTATTCCAAATAAGCTAGAAATTTGGAATTACTGTTGCCCCTGCAAGTTTAAAATTTGGTAGAATTCATAGCATTCGCTGAAACACTATAGTTTCAATTATAAATTTATTATAAAGTGTACGTGTCAAGAACAATCAAGCACAAATGACAAGATCTTTGGAAATGGAAGGCTATGCAGAGAGTCTGTTACCCCTCTCTCTTAATAGGTTCCAGGCACCCCACCCAACCTGGTGTTTCATTAGGTAGGCATTTTAAATAAATTATTCGATGTGTGCTGAGTTGAGTTCAGTTTCTAAGCTCACTCCCACATCCCCTGAGGTCAGGCTGTCCCAAAGTTGTCTGATCTTATTTTATTTTCTAAGATTTATTTATGCATACAGAACTGGGGTACAGGCCAGAGGTGCAGGGGCAGAGAGAGGCTTCACCAGAGACAGAGAGGGGAGCAGAACAGGCAAATCAAGGAAGTACACTGCTGAGGAGAGCAGCTGGTGAGACAGGAAAGGTCTGCCATGCCCTGTGGATCATCTCCAGGGCTGGAGAGCGAACTGGCGCTGAAGCGGCAGCCACTAGCTTGCAGTGCTATGTCCTAAACCTTGCGCCACCAGAGAAAGCACAGTTGGCTAATTTTATACACAGTTGGATTTTGTGGTGAACAGCCCACATCCTGAAGCTGAATCATGATCCACCACGAAGCACTCATTAATATAACAAAGACACACTTGTAACTCAGGAAATTTTAAGTTTTGCAAGCTCTATGCCAGAAATCAGAAACAAAGATTAAATGTATTCTTTATTATACATATTGTTTATAAAATGTATAAGTGGAAAGATAAACCTTACAGTTTAATACTGGAGCAAGATTTACGCATTACTCTATCAGAGAAAATGTGACAATAGTAATATGCAAAGTTATAGCAGGTAAAATTTGGGAATATTAAGTTTAAAGTTAATTATGAATATGTAATAGTGCACATGTATTAACCAAATATACACAAATCACATAGTAACATATAGTTTAAAAGCTGGAAAACATTTTTTAAAGATTTATTTATGCATATAAGAACTAAGGCATAGGCCAGAGATGCAGAGGGTGACAGGACTCACCAGGGATAGAGTGGGGAGCAGAAAAGGCAGATTAAATGAAATACACTGCTGACCAGAGCAGTGGGCCAGACAGGAGAGGTCTGCTATGCCATGTGAGTCACCTTTCTAGTCTGGGATCGAACTCATGCTGTTGGTAGCAGATAGCTTCATTGTGCTGTGCTTTAACCCCTTGTGCCACTAGGAAGGACCTTCCATAACAAAAATTATGGAAACCCAGAAATAGACAAATGGGGTTACTACTAAAGATCTTTTTTGTTGGCCCATGACATTCAGTAGATTCAGGCAAGACTATAGAAGAAAAGTCAATATATAAATAAATAAGCCCATAGTAACTTCTTGCTGTTCCAGCATTTCAGTATTATTACCAATTGAGTTTGCATTAAGAAATATGGAACATTTTCAGGTGTGTTAATCTCACTATCTATTGACTCATAAATTGTTGCTCCATATGGTTTTGACATACTCTTTATCAATACAACAGTTATTAGCCTTAGCCACAAATATTTTTCTTTGCTGTTTACAAAATGCTGATTTTGTTGGAATATCAGAAGTGGCACCCTTGAAATTAGGAGAAGATACATCTTAGAGTTCTAGGTATTATAATTAAATCATTCATAGTAATCTAGCTTTTGAGAAAAATGAAAATACGCAAGAGTTTCCTTACTCCTATTCAGACTTCAGAGTTCATAGGTCATAAAGCACAAAATGGAAATCAGAAAGATGTGCTTTTTGGTTCTGTTTGTTTATAGTGAGGTGTAATTGACAATTTTTTTCTTGTGATGAAAATTTTTAAGATCTACTACAGCAATTTTCAATATGCCATAGTTTTATTAACTATAGTCGACAGCCTGTACCAAATTTGAGGATTAATCTTTACCATGCACTATCTGTATAACTTGAATGTATTTTTAACCTCAATTCATCTGTTTTCTCATCTATAAATATAAGGTAATAATAGTGACTGTCTCATAGGATTATTGGGGCATTAAATGAGAAGATAGATGTAAAACCCTTAGCATATAATAAAAACTCAAAAAAGATTTATTGGCTCGACAGCAAAATATTACAAAACTTTTCAGAAGTGCTTTCACAAACAGCTCCTTACCGCAAATCTAAGAACATTCTGTCATATTCCAAACATATATGCTTCTATTTTATTGACTTTGCTCCCTAATCATTATGCATAGTTTCTATTTTTCAAGATGTATTTTCTGTTCTCAATCCATCTTCTCTAGGAACTCTGAAAATACTATCTTCATTCTGAGCTTTACAAGCTTAGCTGAAATTGAACCTCTTAAATCTTTATGGACTAGCCTCAGAAATCTCACTATCTATTGCAATCATACAGGGTACCCATTCTCTTCAGCATTATCACTATTTCATGTTTTGTTCTTCAGTTGTTTTGCTACTACTTATAGCAGCAAGACAGAAATATGATCTGTTGCTTTTGTATTTGTAGCTTTCCTACCAGACCAGTCTTTCACACATTTGTCTTCTGCTTCCATCTCCCTCCACATACTCACATAGATTTCTTTAGAAGTTTTGTCTGAATTTTGAACTTCTTTGCAGAAGTTCAAAATTCAGTTCAAATGCTGCCTTTCAAAGCTTTCTAAAACTTGCATAGCTGGAATAAGGCCATTAACGTTACCACACTGTACTATTGGATAAGCACTTGTAAATATTTTAGAGAGTTTATTTATTTATGCATACAAGAGCTGGGGTGTAGGCCAGAGGTGGGAAGGCGGGAGAATATTCACCAGAGACAGAATAAGGAGCAGAACAGGCAGATCCACTGAGGAGAGCAGTGGGCAAGACGAGAGGACTGCTGAGCCATGTAGGTCAGCTCACTGGCCAGGGACAGAATGTCTGGCAACAGCTTGATAACACTGAGATTTTAACCCCTGCACCATTTGAATCTTCACAATCTGAAAAGAAAGGCTTTATTAAGCCTTTTTAACAGATGAAGAAACAGAACCCTGAGATTTGTGTTCAACGACATAACTAAGAAGTTACAGAATTGGACCCCTTGCCTTCTTAATCAGGGTGTTTGCTCCTCCCATTTGGGTTCAGGGTAAGTAGTATACACCTCTAATAGAGCACGTATGGTTTAGCATCAGCTAGGCAAGAGATCTTGCAATAAACAGGTGTTCAAAAATATTTGTTGAACAATAAATCATTTGACTTCAGTAAACACTGCAGTAAAGGTAGTGAAGGTCACTAAAGGTGGAAAGGGACATAAATTGAAAAATCATTTCATTTTTCTGATGCTGAAAGAGATATTTGAGAGATAAGAGCTCGACAGCAAGGGTTATTGTCTCTTATCTCAGTGGCAGAGATAAAACTAGCATGAATCCATTTATTCACTCAATGCATATTGAACACTTGCTATGGGAATTCCCGAGACTCTGGGGAATCAGCTTTACTTAGGAAAGGCATATGCTTCCCAATTCTCACCTCAGAGGAAAGAAAAAGCACTGCAGGAGCTGAAGGTGGTGCTTTAGTTCCTAGAGAAAACACGTGAAAGAAGACCCAGGACAGGTTATTGTGGACCGGAAGTAAAGGAAAACAAAAGGCAGAGCGAGAAAAGTCGGGTCACTCTTAAGACTCCTCTGATCGTTTCTCCGCCGAGACACACGGGGGCGCTGCAGTCCTGGAATCCCGGGCCCCAGCGGCACCGCCAGCTCGCCTTTTCCCGGCGGAAATGCCCAGACGATGACGGAAACGCGGAGGGAGGAGAGAGAAAGAGCTGGAGAGAAGGAGCGAGAGAATCGGGAAGAGGGCCGCGGGCGGGAGTGCTGGCGGCTGGCCACCGTCTGGCGGCAGCTGCGCGGAGGGCCCGTGCTGCGCTCCCCCGACCTCCTAGCTCTCTTCACCGACTCCCGGGGCGCGGGACCGGGCGAGCCAGGGCGGGCGGGGGTCTTCGGGAGCCCGCGCGCCCGGTGCCGCCCTCTGGGCTTGGGCGGGGCGTGGGACACGCGACCGCGCTCCCCGGCGCCTTCTCCCACCGGGAGCTGGAGGTAGCGGCAGCGGCTAGAGCGGGAAGCGGCGCCCGGGCCGGGGGTGGGAGGGAGGGGGGAGGGAGTCAGCGGGGAAGGGGAGCGGGCCGCCATGGACGACAAGGCGTTCACCAAGGAGCTGGACCAGTGGGTCGAGCAGCTAAACGAGTGTAAACAGCTAAACGAGAACCAAGTGCGGACACTGTGCGAAAAGGTGAGAGAAATGACAAGTGCGGGGGCGCGGGACAGCGGGCGTGGGCCGTGCGCGTCCGCCGGGGGCGGGGCCCAGTAGTCAGGGGTCTCGGGGGGCGGTGCCTCCTGCCCGGAGGTCCACCCGGTGGCTAACACCGGCCCTTCTAACACCCCAAGCGTTGGTCCAACCTCTCCTAGCGCACTGCCTCCCCTCTGCACTCAGCCCCTGACCCCGGCCAGATGCTCACTATATTGGCCCAAGGGGTCTGGAAAAACGTGGCTTCTAGAATGCACGCCCCAAATTTGGTTGGGGTCACCGATTCTCCTTGGATTTACTGACATTGCTGCATTTCACTGGCAGACTAACAGTCGCGGCACTTTGGAATGTCTAATTGGTCTCATGCAATCTCTTGCTTGAAAATGCACCGAAAATTAACCCGTGTGATGTTACTACTAATGAACCTGTTAGATGTTGAATTTTTCTCATGTTAATCGGACCCTTCAAAAATCACTGACTTGGGGTGCGTCAGATATTTTATAGAGGGGTAGGTGTAATGGTAGACAGATTTCTAGACCTTCTTACAGGTTAACTCTAGTTGAAACGGATGGTGACTGGTATTCCAATTTAGTGCATCTCGGAATTAAATCTGATTGTTTTCAGGACAACACGGCAGATATAGTGAGCTTGGCAAAAAATGCTTGTCTAAAAATGATAAAAGGGCGTATGTTTTTTCGTGCAAGGCAGCACTTTTTAAAAAGTTATTTCTACTATGTATTCTTTTTCCTTTCCAAAGAGTAAAATATGCAGGTGGCTAACGCTTTACAAATCATACTTGATTGCGTGGGCTTCGCTTTCTGAATTCTATACCCGTTGTTTTCTTGAATCTGTATTATTTCAGATTCTTGTTTTAAAGCCTAACGTTCTTGACCATCTTTTATAATGTAGACTGAATAATTTTTGTACACTTTTCCTGTTAAAGTTTGAAGCTCTTGAAGGGTGAAGGAGTAACGAGGTTATTTATTCTTAAGTGCTGTTGGCTTTTTATTTTTTATATATGATCATATGATCTATTGTATATATTTTTTTAAAAAAACTAGTCATATGTTAGGAAATGAAGGTGCCCCAGAATTCACTTGTGAAGATTTTGTCAGTATTATTAGTAGGGAACTCTTAAAATTAAGCAACTCAGGAATGGAAGCTTAACAGCTAATAGTTTTTTAAAGAAGTGTAATCTGGTCTAGGGCCTTTTTATATAGTAAATAGTTGTTTGTTATAAATGGAGAATGTATTTCTGTAAACAGAATTGCCAATCAAATTGTATTTTTCTGAGGCATTTGCTTTAAGTCAACAGTTTCCTTGTGTAATAATCTGTAATTTCATACATATTAAAAATGTTTTAAATCTTTCTGGGGTTCTAGTGGCAAGTAGAATTTCCAGCGGAGTCAGTTAACCTCGTTATGAACATTATAAACTAGAAGTTATGGACAATCTGTAGTTGAATATGTTTTTCCCTTTGACTCTCTTAACTTTAAAATGTGATTTCTTGAGAAGAACATTGTACCACTATTCAGTCACACTTGGGTCTTAATTACTGAGGAAACTATTTGCCAAGAGAGATTATCTGTACTTCCGCTCCATATTTTAGGGCTACCAATCCCTAGGACCTTACAAGTGTTCTTAAATTGCAAATATCTTGCCCACTTACGTCTTTGAATATCTCTACTTTTTCACTAAACATGGATCTTAAAATGAAATACATCGTTATTAACCTTGTCCTTTAACCCTTTGATGAGTTGCCAGTGGAATGAAGTGTGATGTTTGTTCTCTGTATACCCTTTGAGCAGTGCTTACTTTTGCAGCCCTCTCCAGCAACTGTGTCCATCCCTTTGTCATGTCACAGTCTTCTAATTGTAGTTTCTACTTCCATGTTGTATTCCTATCTGAGTTCAACCCCTTACTCCAGTCTTTCTGCACCTCTAGCTCCATACAAAGCTGCAAGACAGGGATAATAATATTTGCCTGGGTTGTCTGTATCAACATAGTACCAATTGAGGTCCTGATGAGTAATAACCACTCAGTAAATGTTGACTAGGGAAAATATAAAAGTATATATTTTATCTCATTTTGAATTTATAACCCCATTTTCTTTTGGGAAAAGATGCAAAGTATGTAGAGATTTATTGATATGACTTCTCTATCATGAAACTTTTGATAGTGACTAGAGAACCCTGAAAACTACAGTTTTAATATTTCTCTTATCTCTGTTACCTGAAGCAGAAGTTTACTGGGATCAGTAGCAGCTTTGTGAAGTAATTTGACTCTTCATTTGACCTTCATTTAATACTTGTTCTGCCCTACCAGCCTAAGCATGGCAAGCATATAGAAAAATTGAAGAGAAAAACAAGTCAAGTATAATTACACCAATCATTTTTATGTTTAATCATTTGTGACTATATTTTGGTTTAATTTTTTTAAGTTTTATTGGGGAAAAGGTACTTTATAGGAAATTACATTATATAGTGATGGTGGTGGTAGATTTCCTCTCAAAATTAAATTTCTATTTAATTTTCTATTCTAATTCTTTGCCTAAAAATTGAAGGAATCAGCTAGAATTAAGAGCAAGTAGTGCTTGTAAAGACCGTGTTTTGAAGTAGTGGCACAAATAAACTCCATCTTAATGCCAGTTGGAGAATAACTACAAAAAATATAAATGTGAATGTTACAGTATATCTTGTGTCCATGGTTAATTTCTGTCTAGAGAAAATAATTTGCATAAAATAATAAGGCAAGATAAGAATCAGTCTTCTAAAAATTTTAACTTAGCACTAAATTAAATCAGCTGTCCATCTTTTGAATGTAATTGTGAATTTGACTCAAGTATAGAGAGATACTTCTGCAAGTCATTCCTCAATAACAGTATGCACAGTAATATTAAAAGATGGTGTGCCTAGAATCTTTGGTCTGTACTCCAGGTCTGTATGCATATATAAATAAATCTTTAAGAAAAAAAAATAGTGTGCCTAGAGAGCCAGCCTGTCAGGACATTCTGTGAAGAACTATGTTTAATTCTTGGTAGTCTCAAGAAGAGTAAAAATTTTAGGCTCTTCGACATGCTAAACTTTATATTCAAGAACCTTAATGGTAACACTTTTAAGTAAGAAGGGAAATTTAGCCTAGCAGATTGTTGTTCTAATGAGTATAACTAGAAAGTGCCAGGTTATCCCTGGTAGCACAACAGGTTAGGACACAGCATTGCAAGCTAGTTGCAGCTGCTTTAGTGCGAGGTCAATCCCCTGCCCAGGAGGTGACCCACATGACGCTGCAAGATCTCTCCTGTCTCACCCGCTGCTCCCCTCAGCAGTGTACTTCATCATTTGGCTGTTCTGCTCCCCACTCTGTCTCTGGTGAATCCTCTCACCACCCCTGCACTTCTGGCCTGTACCCTAGTTCTGTATGCATAAATAAACACATCTTTTATTTATATATACCTATATGTATATATACACATATGCACATACATATACACACATATATACATATACACATACACACATATATATACATATACATACATATATACTTACACATTTATACTCCCACACAAACCTTAAAGTTGTTTTCTGTTCTAAAATTGTTCTATATATATACATATAGAAATGCCTACTGAGAACAATTTTAAGGTTTGTGTGGGAGTATAAATGTGTAAATTTTATATTGGCTGTAATGGATATATTTCTGGGTTGCTGGGTCCTGGTCTCAGCTGTGAAATAAACAGACATATCTTTAGGATATTGCTTCATTAATATGAAATAGCTTGCTTAAATTCTTGAATGACTACACTACTTAAAAATATTAGTAAGAATGAATAATTGATTTTTCTGAATGTGCAAGATAAAGTATTTTAGACTGTAGTTTGGTATTTTCCATTCATTTTATAGAAGAGAAAATAATTGCATGGTTTATTCTCTTTTGAAAGACTTCCACCTGGTATTAGGTCCTGGATAAGGAGTGCTGTAAATTAATTCAGTACAGTCTTGCCTCTACTTTAGAAACAAATGAGGCTGCTCTTGGTGGAAAGTGAGAAAGCAAAGTGAGGATTGGTAGAATAAATAATGTCACTGTGTCTTTACCCATACATTCAGGAAATTTTAGTTGTGCTCTTGTGTGCCAGGCCCTTTACAAAGTCCTGGGGATTCAGTGTTAACAGAAGAGGAGATAGATGATAATACAACAGAATGTCTTGTGGTGATTCTTGCTAGGAAGAGAAGACAGAAGAATAGAGGAGAGATTGTGGGTTGAGTTCTGGAGGCTCTTTCTAGAATGGTCAAAGAAAGCCTTTCAAGTTCTTTATAATTTACTTTTTTTGTGATCAAAGCATTGCCAGAATTAGAGAACATAGTTCCTAAGACTACTCTCACTCCTGCACCAATGGTAAATTCAGTGGATTCTTAAAAACACTTTCAGGTTCACTAATTCACAGAACTCACTGAAAACTGTAATTCTCATAATTAAGGTTTATTACAGGGAAAGAATACAGATTAATTTCAGACAGAAAAGAGACACATAAGGCTGGAGAAGAGTCTGGTGTCTTTAGCCTCCAGTTTCTTTAGAGATGCAACAGAACTGGTACTAGGTTACCCCATCATAAATCATATTGTTAGACTGTCCAGTGATGTTAATTATTTAATGACAGTTTTTTATTCCATAACAGATTTTATGACAAGTACTTTAATAAGTAATAAAAAAAAATACAAAAGTGAAAACCCAGATAGAGTTATCAGAATCATACATAGAGTGAGTAGGATATGAGGGGTGTTTTTTTTCCCCCTGTGAATTGAATCAGATGTTCTTTGTCATATCATTTTTTGTCTTTTGATCCTGTAAACTTTTTTTTTTTTTAAGATTTATTTATTTGTTCATACAGAACTGGGGTACAGGCCAGAGGCTCAGGGGCAGCGAGGGGCTTCACCAGAGACAGAGTGGGGAGCAGAACAGGCAGATCTACAAAGTACACTGCTGAG